TTTATGAGTATAATGCTGTTCTGGAAAAAAAAATCCAGAGGTTTCTTCTATGAAGTGTGTATGTAGGATAAAGAGGAGTTAAATTACCAGTTTTGATAAGGATTATCAAAATCAGTATAAATAAAATATCACCAATGGGCAAAATTGTGGCATGTTTCCAACTACTCACCTTAAAAAAGAACCCTGAGCTTAAATATGAAGGCAAAATTTGTCATAATGTTTTGGTTTTTGTTGGAGAACAAGATTTTCCATCATTAAAATACCTTCAAGAACTGCATTTGCCACTATCTTAGCTTATTGATCATTGGGATAGCTAAAAATGAATAAAATTTAAAATGGAAATAACTTTTCTGAATCATAACTCCCAAAGAGATTGCATACTTAGATAGCTTATTGCATAAATCTGAATATCTAAAATTTTACTATAGAAAAGCTGTGATTTTGCTTTTCCAGTATAAAAACATGATTAACTAAACACAGAAAAGCATGGCTTTTGTAATTACATCCTGGTGATTTTATTATTTTTCTGATTGAATATTAATGACATATTGCTGAATATTTGAACACAGCTGAATGTTTCAAACAAAATATTGTTGGTTTGTTTTCTTATAGTCAGAAATATTAGTGCAAAGTTGTACTGAAATAATGAGGGATTAGGCAGGAATAGCGCTTACCACACCATCCTGAAACATAGTAATGGCTGGCTGAAGTGAAAGCAGTGACAAACCAACCTCTCCCTCTGCCTTCAGCCTGAGTATAGAGCGTTTGATCTTCTAGTAAGAATTGGCAAGAAATTCTAATACAAATATTTACTGCAGCAGTAGGAACTAAAGAACCGCATGCAACCCCGTAGCCTTACATTGCTCTAATGCGTCACAGAGCTAATGCCACTATTCTTTCCCTGTTTTGTTCTTAAACATTTTCACTGAATTTTAGGTTACAGTCCTATATAAAAATTATGACGATGTTCTAATGTAGCAGATGTTATGCTGTTAACTTCAGAAGAATTTTGTGCATGTATATCAGCAGACTGTATAATCTAGAATTCATTAATAACCACAGCATGGGTCAGTACCTTTCACTGGAAGATTTGATCGCACAAGATTAACTGTAGAAGAATTTGAGATTTTTGCTACTGTAGTTTTCCTCAAGGCAAAACTCAGCTAGATGTTATCTTTCTAAATTCTCCATTATTAAACTTTCGTACCTTTTTTGTATTAGTTAATCTAGTTCTTCTTCCATGTCTATAAGAAGCAAAACATCTGTTTCTTCTTGTTCAATCAAAGTGCCTAACTCAAGAGTCCTACTTTTAATGTCATTTAAATAGAAATCCTAGATAGAGAGAATGCATTTTATTAACATATTTTATTTACATATGAAACAATCTTTTCCAGAGCTCAGTAGGGAATTTGTGGTGGTAGCAGTATGTCTTTCTTTTTTTTTTTTCAACTTGTATACCAAAAAGCAGATAAGGGAAATAAAACTGCAATGAGAAATCATCATTGTGCATTTGGGATATTGTCCATGCTAAACTTTCCAGCTGAAAATTCTTTTATTATAAGAAACCATGTTCTACTCTTAATATTGAGTCTTGGTTTACAGAAAGATCTCAGCTAAGCCTGACTTTAAGTCCAAGCAAAAGTAATCCCTCAATATACATAAGGCATCTAATAAAATATTACAATAAAAACAGCTCATGCAGCTTTACAGAATTATCCCCTATAATAATATATATGTTGAATATATCACATATCCCGATAATAATTAAAGTCCCTGAAACAAATCATTATTTCATAAAAAAGGAGGGTTGACAGTGCTGCAGCTAAAACATATAAATAAAAAGCAGTTTAAAACAGTGGCAGAGATAAAAGGTTCTCTCAGTTATGCTACTTGGGAACAGTGAGTACTTGCTGAGTGATAGTGGCCAATACTCATTACCATTTGTCTTTAAACTCAGCAGGAAAAAAAATGTAGCAGTAAAAAGTTTTCTAAGCAAACACAAAATTACAGAAACATTTTTGTGACAACTTTGAGCCAGAATAGTTGGGAATGTTACTGTCATACTGCAAATTTCCATAAGGATAGTTAATACATGTAACTAAGTAGAAGACAGACTAATGATTATTTTGTGTGAATATACTGAAGACTTCATAAAGCAGAAACAGTGTCATCTTTCAGGGACTGATGGAAATGATGCCAACTTGTAGGGGCAAATATTTTTAATACAGTCAAAACCAATGCTTCTCCAATCACGCCTTTAGCAGCTTACAGACTCCCTTCACTGCACATGGGGAGAGCACAGTACAAACACTACCTAGAAGTATGGAGGGATTCTGTTCCATGAATTGATTGTGATGGAAATGATGAACAGACTCGGCTTGGGGAAAATTAGTTTAATTTATTGCTGAATAAAATAGGTCTAAGTAATGAGAAACAAAGACAATCATTAAAACAACACCTTTCTTTCCCCCTTTCCCAAGCTCAACTTCAATTCTTCAGTTGCAACTCCACTACATCTAGCTCCCAAGGAGCACAGAGGGGATGGAGGGAGAAGATCAGCACTCTGCTACTCCTGCTCTCTCACACTGTTCCCCTGCTCCAGCGGGGACTGTCCAGGGGAATCCGGTGACAGGAGCACCTCTTGTCCCTCCTCCCTCTCTCCCCTTGGGATAGGGGCCCTTTCTCCCCTCTTTCCCCTCGGGATAGGGGCCCTTTCTCCCCTCTTTCCCCTCACCCATTCCTGCCCGGGGCTGAGGGACTTGTCTGTGCCCTGCACTGGAGCCACTGTGCCCAACTGTGCCCGACTGTGCCCGATACACCTCACCAACACCCCTGTGGCCCCTGCCAGCACCTGGGCACCTGCACCAGGGAAAATTTTCTGTGTATGTTTAGGTCTAACTCTGTTTGAGCTGTCTGGAATTGTCTTAATTGGTGAAGATTCTCAAAAAAAAAATTATCAAAGCAAGAACAGCAGTGTATTTGGAAGTTACTGCTGTGAAAGCTTTAAGAGAGAGACATTTGCCACATAAATACATCACATACAACTGCAGTTTCTATCCAGAGGCAAGAGAAAACCAGTGATGTGTGAAATGTTCATAGAAAGTGGACATATTTGGAAGAATCCCTGGAGATGTGACATAATTTCTCTAGTCATAGTTTGTTAATGTGCAAAATCTTCTCCTTTGATATAATACAAATGGTGACGCAATGAAGGCTGACACCCTCTTGTTTCATATCCTGTTGTGTCTTGGTATCTACAATATCCCTCCTTCCAGAGAATTTTTTAGACATACTTCCCTCTGTAGTTGAACAGCTCATGCCACTGCTTTTGGCCCTTGTGTTTTAATAGCAAATTCTTAATTTTGTCCAGGAGTCTCTAGTTATTTTTGTTCAGTTCACGGCAATACCAAATACCTTGATAAAAAAATGGAATAGTTTTTTAATATTAGGTCATCTCAGGCTGGAAAAGTGGGATTTTAAGTATGTTCTTATAAACTTCAGTTTTAGTAACACATGCTGTAACAATTTTGGTTTGGAAGTCTATACAAAGCTGTGTCTTCTTTTACTTTCTCAGTTTATTATCAATAGAAATTAATTTTTTCCTGATTATAATTATGGGTTTTTTTCTGTTTCTTCTTTTTCAGTTAAAATGAAAATGAAAGAAAAATAGCTTACAAACAGAAAGAAAACTTCTCTCATGTTTAGTATATTAGGTCTTTCATCTGTTCTTACCCTAGGTTGAACCAGGTTTGGTAGAAACATTTCTTACTGATACATTTTTTTAAGAGTCTTCTGCCACTTTTATTCATAGTAATGAATATTCCAAGAACATTGAGTATAACACCCCATGTTATTTCAGGACTTGATCTGATATCTTAAAGAAAGATGTGAAAACTTCAGGAAAAAAATATTAATTAAATGCTTATATGTATCTGTTTGCCATGACTATTATTTCTTGTTCATAGAAGGTAATATTCTTTTGAATATTTTGAAAGTTTATCTTCCATTATAGTTCTCCTGATATTGTACATCCCATTTAATTTTAGAAACAGCTCATTATATTGCATTGTGATTTATTTTGGCAAATGATATTTTGCTAAGGTGACCTAGCACCTTTATCTAGGTGAAGAAAATGTCACTTGTTAGAGGTGCTATAACTTGGAATTTGTTTTTACTAGAGCATTTGCTACTTACTTGTTGACCCAACATGACCTCTCTGCACGGTAATGACTAGAACGAACTAGTACCCTTTTGCAGTTCTTAACCTGGTAGACAAACTGGCTTCCTCCCAGCTGCTGGAGACAATATAAGAAGTGAATGAAGTCAGGGTTTTTTTAAAAAAGATCTGAATGAATGAACAAATCCATCTGCTTTACTGCTGTCAGTATGGGGTGGATGGTGCTCCCCTAAGATTGTGCGGTTTCTGGTTTTGCAGTGCCTCTGTGATGATGTCTTCATCTTCTGCAAGTAGCCCCACATCCCAATGACAGGATTAGCTGAGAACTCACCATCTATGCACATTTTTTCCTCTCCTATTTTTTCTTTCCCTTTTCTTGGAAATACCTAACTTGATATATGTCTAATGTGAGCATAATGTACCCTTTGGGCTTGTTACTCACTATAGTTAAATGGATGAATCAATATATTTTCCTTCTAAACTTGATCATAGAAGCAGTTAAGACAAATTCTTTATTAATGAAATGTAGAATATGGCCTTTTGATGGGAAAGGTGAATGACAACATCTGTGGTTAGATACAATTATGCCTGACAGCATGGACACTTTGGTAGTTACAAGTCTTGTATTTATGATATAATGTGGAGTTTTTGGTAATAGTTACTTTAATAACAATGCTTTGTTATCACAGTGAAATAATTTCATTTCTGCAATAGCCTTTATTAAACCTTATGTAATGAGCCTGGGAGAGACACCCACAAAACACTTAGAGATGATAAATACAGGACTAACTAAAATATTGCAATGTTTTTGTGTTCTTCATAGGCTCTGGTCTCAATGATGGGCAGTGGCATGAAGTTCGATTCCTAGCTAAGGAAAATTTTGCTATCCTCACCATTGATGGAGATGAAGCTTCAGCTGTTCGAACAAACAGTCCTCTACAAGTTAAGACTGGTGATAAACATTTCTTCGGAGGTAAAAAAAATATCAAAACAAATATGTAATTAAAGTGCTGTGTCTTTTAACCTATATAATAGGTTAGATGGAGCTCAGGGTGTAATTCATTCATGTGGATTTTATTATGGGTTAAATGTCTAGGTGCTGCTCATCAAAGAGTAAACTACCAAACAATTTCATTTTTAAGAATCTTTTTATATCTTCTTCTCCTTACAAAAGAAAACACTGAGAAGTTCTCTGCAATGGTCAATCTAACTTGGGATGATTTTTCAGATCTACTCTGACTCTTTCAGAGAAAGGGGGACTGTAGTTGAATTAGAAGGCACTGGGGGGAGAAATAAACAGCTTTTCAGGTTTGAAATCCTGAAGACAAAAAAAACAAACCAAAACAAGCAAAAAATCGTTGTTCAGAAGTCTTAACCTTTTGCTGACTTTTAAAACCTATCATGATTGTGAGTAATTAAGAAACTTGCATAGCTTGAAGTTGAAGCCTTAGATTGTTCAGTATTGCTCCCTTTTGACAGTCCATGTAGTAAAAAGAGATCTTGAAAACTGTACCTTGAATGTTTATTCTTCCTGCTCTTCTATGTTAGAATTTATGAAAATCAAAAAAGACTTTCAAAACTCTTGGTTTTTTAAAATTCATATTTAAATTTCTCTATTAAAAAATGCATTAGCATGCCAAAGATATTTTTGATACACTACTTACTATCTTATAGGGGAAAGTCATTAAGAGTTTTTTAACTCAAATGTAAGTACTACTTTTCATACTGTTAGCCAGTCTTTTTATAAAACATCCAATTAAGCAATGACCTGCAATCTTTGTTCTAGCAGAATTCTCAGCAAGCTCAAACGTTGACATAAAAAAGTTGCAAGTTGCACTTTTGCAGTGTACCACATGTGAGGTTGTACATGAAGGCTTCAGATAGAAAACACAAATTTTAAAAGTAGAATTTTTCTGTGTTGAAGCTTGATCTTTTTTCAAATTTACAAGTTGCATACCTAATAAAAAGAAAATATAAATGAGATAACATCACCCAAGGGATGGAAAATTTAGTGGTATATGAAGTACCTTAAGTAGAAAAGGAAAAATATTTTCGATGTTATTTTTATTTCATTGTTATCAAATTAAAGTTGATCTGTCATGATAGTTAAACTTCCTGTTGCTGCAAGATGCATCTTTTCTGATACCCTTAATTCAGCTAATACTGTTTTTTTAGCATATTGCCTCAAATAAGAGTTCTGGCATAGCCAGTTGCCACATGCTAAAGCGTGAAAATTATTTAGTTGTCAAAACATAGTACCTTCAATTTGTCAAAACAGCCTAGGACATGCTAATTAAATGAAGTTATTAAGCACACATAGGAGAAAATGAAAAGAAATGCCATACATAATACATCCTGTGTTAAATTCTACTAATTTTGATAGGTAAAATCCCCAGATCTTTATTACATTTCTGGAGAGAGTGAGATTGATTGATTTCTTCTGAAATGTCTTTTACCTCTGACTCTTTGGTTGTGAGGGATAGATTGTCTAGTTCCTCCAAGTAATTTTATACCCTTTCTCAGTCAAAAGTCAGAGTGATTTGTTGTCATTTCAGTTGGACTGTGAAATCTGCTTGAGTTGTGATTGTTGACCTTTACTTTCCAATTCCATTATCCTTCCTTAAAATAAAAAAGGTGTGCATGTAGATATTGTTCCAGTGGGATATGAAAGTCAATCGTGAATTCCCTGAAGTCTCATTCTCACATCTGTTCATCCAAATGCATGTTCCTGTTGCATAAACTATGGGGCATTTGTTTTTCTTTATTATCTTTTATCCTCTGAAATGTCTTCTAAAGGTATATGAAAAGAATAGGGGTGTTCTAACCTTCATGACCAAATTTATTTCAAAATAAGTCTGCATTTGCAATGCTATACTTATTGCATTTTAGCTGTCTGAAGCTGTGAATCTGCAGAAGCTTTATTTATAGAACCCATGTACTTTAGTATGTTCCCACATGAATATTGCTATACACATATAAGTTAGTTATTTTGATATATATCTATCTGTTAATTAGAGATTGCTTGCAACTTCAAGCCTATCTTTTTGATGCATGTTAAAGCCTAATCTTTATATTCATGATCTGCATCTTATAAGGCAAAGGTGTTTTTGTTCTGCTCCCTCTCTATGTATGCATTCCTCCTTATTTTTCTTTACAAGCAGTCCAAGTTATGCCTTTTAATAAATAATATTTGCAAGAAGAGGATGTAGAGGTGAGAATAGTGGGGAACCTCAAATATTTGGGCCAGGCGGTCATCAAAGATGTTTTCATTAGTTTCATTAGGAATAAGTTCAGATAAGATAGCATCAAATACTTCTTTTCTGCAAATACCTGTAATTGGTTAGGAAACTGCCTCAAATTCAGAGAACAGTATGTTCAGTTTTCTGCATACTGCTAGATGACTTGGAGAAAGAATTATCAATTCTTTGGTGTTGATACATTTCATTGTGAAAGCGAATCTAATTGATTTCTTTGCTAGAGCACTGAATACAATAGTTAGATACTTAGACTATTAAGTCTTTGTATAATGAAAATATAACAGGTGCAGAAGTTAAATGATGAGTTTTAAAAATGGCAGTGTTACAATATTCATCCAATCCCACTGCTATATTACTTGATCTTTCAAAATACTGAGAAGGCTCAGTCCTTTGAATTTGTGTTTGGAGAGATTGTACAGAACTTCTAGAATGCTATGAACTCTCTTCTAACTGAAATATTCCTATTTTCATCTTTGAAGGAGATACTATATGTATGCAAATGTTCTGTTCTCCAAACTTTCCCTTTCCCTGATTCCAGAATAAGTGTGCCTCTTTTTATTCCTGTCTCCTAGTATCAATATACCAAATATATACTATAGGCAATGTTGTTGTCTTTGCCGAAGAAAAGATGTAAAAGTTGCATTTCAGCACTGCAGTACAATATTTTCTCAAAAATATATTGGAAAATTGAAAGAGAAAAATAATTACAATGAAATGGGTACTGCCTCATACTAGTAAGGAGAACACAAGATATGCTTTTTCTGTGAAATTAACTACAGATTTTACTGTAAGAGAAGTAGCACATTTAAATCTGAATTTTAGAGACAGTATCTATTTTTCAGAAAAATTATCATTTTCATGTATTTTTTCCTGACTTTTCCCAGGCAGTATCCCATATTAGTTTCATAACAAAATAGACAATCTATCAAAATTGGGAATGGTTTAAAGATTGAGTGGATAAATTGAACATTAGTATGCCTAATGTAACAATAAAACATTATAGGCAAATCACAACTATTAAGCTGATTTATACACAGATAGGTTTGCAGTGATATCTGTATAAGTCCTTAATTCTACTCACAGTATTTTCATTAGAACTCGATCATGACTCAGTCCATTATAACTGGAATGCAGAGGCATAGGATGGTTGTTTGTTTATTCCTGGTGTTACAAATTTTGCACAGACAGGAACAAGCCTGTGAGTCGGAGTGCTCCATCCCTCTGTGCATGCAAACAGGTACAGTAAGGGCCAGCTGAACACTGTGTTCAATGACTGGAAGGAATCAACAAAGGAATAGCTTGTTTGGCCATCCAGTGGTATACTGGGCCTGGTTAGTCAACCACCCTGTCTAGCAGCACCCTCCAGCTACCATTTTGAGAAAGGCTTTTAGAGAAGGCAGACCTGATGGTCATTCTCCCAGTTTCCCTGGAAACTAGTTCCTAAATTTGTTCTGGTTATTCCTTACTTTAGTCATTCATTTGAATACAAATGCTTGTCATTGACCGGCAAACCCAGATTTTTGCAGCATGTACAGCAGTATTTGAAAAAGGAGATGTGGAAATCAGAATATTTTGTGTCTTCTGCCCATAGAACTAACTTTTCTAGTTTTGAAAAGTCATAAGTAAATCACGAGGAAATCATATGAATATTCTTTATTTCTCTGTCAGAGAATACTGTGTTCATTATAGTTATAGTCTTTTTTTCCCCCTTGCTTTGTGCCTCTCCAATACTGTCTCCCAGCTCTACTCAGAGACTCTGAAGGGGCAGCAGAAGTGATGTTTTATTCAAGCCTAAAGTGTTAGGGGAAACTGTGTTAAGATCAGGCATTTCTGTAGATTGTGTGAATGTGTGCTGCTGTATGTGGGAGAGTGGATGCTAATTGCCTATTACCCTTCTGTATAACTATTCTTCTCTCCCCACTGGTTTTATTTTCCTTCCTTTTCCTGTCTTGAATTTTGGAAACAAGTGAACTTCCCTTCCCTACTAAGCTCTAAAGAATGATGTTTCTTTGTTGTTTCCAATTATCTGCATAAAACAAAAAAAGCAGAACAGAGAAAGTGAATCACAGAGTGAAAATGAGTCCATTAACCTCATTTGCACTGTTGGAAATAAAGAGCTTTTGTGAGGCATCCTAAGCTCTCACCAAACCACCTAATAGCTGCCTGGTGTCCAGAGGAAATATTTCATCAGAGACATAATTTTGACTTATTTCTATTTTGTGGCATTTCTTTTTAATTGTGTCTGCTTTTCCTCTTCTTTTCACTGTCTCAAGGATAGGAGAGTTTTTAGTATGAGTGTTAAATTTTCATTGAGAACAAAAGTATGCAGCAAGCATCTGTCAATCCACTATGTGCTGCTTTTTCTGACAAGCAAGATGAATGGAATATGCAGTAAGTTTCCTATGGGACACCAGTCCATAGCATATAGAAAGTCCTCCCTTTCTGTACAAAACACACTCTGTACAGAGTCTTATTCCTGGAGTAAAATTCATTAGTTTTGAGAAGTTGTGTTGGTCTAAAATTCTGTGGAATTAGAGGTGGTGGAAGGAGGAGGGAAGTCAAGCAAAAGAGAAAAAATCTATTTCTTTGTTTCACATGTGCTGGGCTCTTCTGAATCTTCCCTTCTTAAAGGCCATTGGGGGGTGTGACTACATTTTTCATCAAGTTATTCATTGTTAGAATCGTGTGAATTGGTAATTAACAGCTGTTATAGTCA